GCAGTTTTAGCCCAATATCTCTCTGTCTGTCGCTTGTCATGCCATTTTGAGGCCATAATATTTCCTCTAAGACATGTAGGAAGCATTGTAGATTGACTGTCTCTTGATTTCTTCTTGATTAGCAGCACGGGCGTGCTTAATGGCACGGGCTGGGTGTGCTTTAGCCTGGAAGTCTGGCTAGTGAAACACGGGGCGTGCTAGGTAGCACGGGCTAGTGAAGCAGTGAGGCACGGGCGTGCTAATGAGCACGGCTAGGGCGTGCTCTTCTCTAGAAGTCTGGCTAGTGAAGCACTGCGGCATCTCCTGAAGATTTGCGCTCGCGAGTTGTAGATTCGCGCTCGCGGGTGTTGGTCGCGCTCGCGTATGTGAGATTCGCGCTCGCAAGTTGTGCGGCCTAACTCTCTGCCTCTCGTTTGCGCAACTCGCGCTCGCGTGGTGTAGATTTGCGCTCGCGCATCTGTTTTGCGCAACTCGCGCGTGCTTCGGGGCGCGCTTTAGACGTGCTGGCTTCTCTCCTCATGGCACGGTCGTGATCTGCTTGACACGCCCTGATCCTATTGTAGCACGGGCGTGCCTTCCAGCACGGGCTGGGCGTGCTAGAGGCTGAGTGCCTTGCATTCTAAAATTCTTTTCTGCGCCAAATTTCTGCAATTTTCTCCAATTTTCTCTTAGATCAGGGGATTAAAGACGCAAGAAAAGCTTTTAACACAATTATCAACTAAAGTGCTAAAAGTGATTTAAAATTAAATTAAAGAAGTAAAAACTTACTAAAATTCTAATAAAAACTATATTAAAAACACTATAAAATTTACACTTATCAGAATTAAATGAAGACAAAATTTGACGACACACTTTAACAGCAGGATGACCTAATCGCTGATGCCAGAGCAACGAAGAATCACGAACACAAACATTGGCAACAATTGAAGATGAACGACCACTTGATAACGAAGACAGACGATACAAGCAACTTTTAATTTGCCCCCTTGTGATGATCTCCCCCGTGTTGAGATCCTTGATAATGAAATAATCAAAGAAAAACTCAATAGAGACATTGTTAGCTAAACAAAATTCAAAAACAGAAATAAGGTTTTCCTTAGACCTAGGAACACAATAAACATTCTGTAAAGAACAACTTTTTAATGGAAAGGAAAGAACTCGAGAGCCAACATGAGTTATGCGCAAACCTGAACCATCGATGAGGTGAAGTTCATCTAATCCTTTATATGGAGCATGCAAAGACAAGTTCTGTAAATCATTGGTGACATGATTCGTAGCTCCAGTGTCCAACACCCAGCTCAACACCCAGGCTCGAAAGTGTCCAACACCCAGCTCGAAGAATCAGAAGCTGCTACATGATTAGCCCGCGGTGGTGGTCTAGGAAAATTATTCTTGAAGAAGTCCTTTGCACCGTAACACTGTTTGGCATTATGACCCGGCTTATCACAAATCTGACATTGAACTTTGGAACCTCCATTATTCCTGCGCATAGGCTGGGATCGAGAGCCTAAGTTTCCTGAATACCCAGAATCTTCACGAGAACCAGAAGATGACTGCGGTCGAGAAGAATAAGAATTTTTTCAAACATGATTTGCCACAACAGGTGCTGGATCATAAGCCGAATCAATTTTCTTAACATATACTTCATGAGCGAGAAGCCGATCCTGAAGCTCCACAAAAGAAATAACAGTATCACGTGCGCGAATTGCAGCAGCAATATCGCGAAATTTAGGGCCAATTCCATTTAATGTATAAATCACTAGATCAATGTCAGAGATTGGACTTCCAGACAAAGCTAGATCGTCTGAAATTGCTTTAATAGACTGCAAGTACTCTGAAACTGGTTTAGAATCTCTTTTGCTATTAGCAAGCTTTTCTCGAAGAGACAGAATACGTGTTGCAGATTGGTTTGCACATGCAGTCTGTATCTTCGCCCACGCATCTGCTGAAGTTAGAGCAGTAGAAACAATATGCATAGAGGACACACTCGTGGAAGCAATCAATGCTGCCAACACTAGCTGATCCTGACAGACCCAATGATCATAGTCAGGGTTTGAAACTTCTTTATCATCCTTCCTCAAAACTGGTGGAGGACGGGGATAGGATCCATCAACATACCCTAGGAGTGAAACTTCTTTATCATCCTTCCTCAAAACTGGTGGAGGACGGGGATAGGATCCATCAACATACCCTAGGAGTTTATGCCCACGTAGGACAGGAACAATCTGAGCTCTCCATGTCAAATAATTCTGTTGAGTCATTTTTAGAGGAAACTGAGAGCCATTAATTGAAATCAAAACCTTACCAGAAATATGTGTAAGGTTGGAGGTATTTGACGCATAAGCCATTTAAAGAACAATAGGTTTTAGGCAAACAAATAAACTGAGAGTAATGACCGAAGAAGAAAATGCAAAAACCAATAGGTTTTGGCTCTGATACCATAAAACGATTTGAGTGGAATTAATTTTCTATTATTTCTCAAATCTATAAATACAGCAATTTTCTATAACAACATAACAACTACAGCTGTACAAGATAAACACAATTTCGAAATATAAACAGTTATAAAAATAAGAGATAAAATATGTTGTTAGCTCAATAAGTACAGGCATGATACAATATGGCATCATCAAGCTAAAATATAATAATAAAAAAAGAAAGAAAAAGAAAAAGCTTGAGACGTCAGTATTGCAAATAGGCCTGAAAATCCAAGTTATTGAAAGTTGGCTTAAAAAAACAAAAAAAAAGAAGTTGAGGATGCACAGTACAGTCAAGAAGTTTAAAACCATGCACTGATTTATTGAACTGACATGCAAAGCAAAAAGTCAACGACATGATGGACAAGACTTGCACAGAATAGTTTCAACCAAAGTAATAAAATAAAGAAGAAGCACTTACTTGTTTAAATCTGACCGAAGCAATGGAGTTGGCGAGATTTGCACAAGAAATAATCTTAATTTCTTGACCGTTATTGAAGACGGAAAAGATTAAATTCTAATTGCTCAGAGATTTGAGGTGAAAAAAAAATTGCTCAGAGATTTGAGGTGAAAAAATCGAGGCACAATGGTTTTTTTTATAGAAGATTTGTCCAGCTCCGAAATTAATAATGATTTAAATCTTCAACTTTAAATTCGAGAAAGATTTAAATTCTCAACTCTAAATTTGACAAGAATTTAAATTCTCAATTCCAAATTCGACAAAGATTTCAATTATCAATTTTAAAATCATATGATTTAATTTCTTGAAGGATAAAAAATTAAAAAAATAGAAAATTCTAATTATAAAAAATTTTAGAGTTTCACTGTTTGGGCTAAAAAATTTTATTAGCCTATTAAATTGGAGTTAATTTTTTGTTAACTTAAAATTTCAAGTTAAAAAAAAGGCTCATTAAATTAGGCCATGCAAAAAAAAAAAGGGGGCATGAGTTAAAATTTTAAAAAAAAAAATTAATCTTCTTCAAATTTTTGAGATCCGTCCAAACAAGTTCATGAACATGTCTCGAGGGATATCTGTAGACACTTAATTTTATTAAATTAATTTAATTATTAACTTAATTATTTAATTAGGTAATTAAATTACTGATTAATTAAATTAAATAACATATTTTAATAATCAATCAAAATATTTAAATGGTTATTAAAAAAAATTACTGGATAAATATTATTTACTGCATAAATAAATAATGTAGTAAAGTCTAATAAAAATTGGCCATGGACCAATTAAATTAAATCTTAACGAATAAGTCCGGCGTTTACATAAGCTAACTGATGGAACAATAGCTAATGAGAACTTACCAAGTGGACCAATCAAATTACATACTTGGCAAGAGGACTCTCTCAAATCTCTATAAATAGGAATCTCTCTTCACATACAGGATACACACACATATAGAGAGAAAGAAAGAAAAGAAGCCTAAAAGCTCCGTCAAAAAGCTCTCTCTCAAGTCCAAAGAATCAAAATTCTTTCAATTTCAATTCAAGATCAAGTCTATCGACCCTTGAATCGTGCAGAGTTCATTCTACAAAGTTCGTTTTACATCAATTTAATGTCGAGTCCCTTCGACCATTGGATCGTACTCAAGATCAAGTCATTTCAACCCTTGAACTGTGTCCTTAACAACAAAGAGAAGAATCAGAGGATAATCTTCCTTGTAATAGGAGATTTTGCATTAGATATTGTATCCACTTATTATCATAAATTCAATTTGTATTTTTTGTTTTTTAATTTTCAGAAATAAATTTTACGCATACAATTATTATCTGTCTATTTTGTAGCTTCATTCCTTCATCCAAAAATTATAGTTCCAATTTTTTTTTTGTGTATCCTAAAATAATAGTCTTACCTATATTTTTATTATAATTTTTTTTTACACTTTTCCACGATACCCTTATATAATAATCCACATGAATAATTAATATTGATTGATTTGCTTGATATACCCTGGAAGAAAGTTGTTAAAATAATTAATTCTAAAACTTTAATATACTAACCATTCGTCTTGTTTTGAAACTCTCAAAGAAGCATTATTGCATGACATTTGGGATTTAAGGTTTCGATATTAAATCTGATTTTGGTGTGTCAAAATATAATTCTTAGAATTCTGCATTAATAAATATAGATATGTAATTCTAATGTGCACTAATACATTTAAATATATCACTTAATTAAATATTATTTCTTTGTGAAAGAGAGATAAAAAGAGAGATGCATTGTACATTAGTTGTTAATTTCCTTAATTTGATACTTAGTCAGGCTATTATGACTAAGCTGTTCGTAAACAATTCGAAACTTGATTCGATAAAAGTTAGCTCGATTCGAGTTTATTTTTAAACAAACTTGAATTAAAGAAACTCGGCTTATTAAAGCTGACGAGCTGGCTCAGTTTTTTAGGCCCATGAAACCATATTTTTTTATGAAATTACATGGTTTTGAATTGGATTTTTCATTAAAATTATTATACCATATAGCCAAATTTCACTAATATAAAATTGATTACTATATATATATATATATATTTGGTTTACAACCTTAATTAATCAACCAACTAGAAATTAAAAAAAAAAAAAAAAAATTATAGTTTCAAAAAGAAAAAAGGCATACAAATTTGCATCTGCTAACAACAAACAAAATACCTTCTCACTGGAGTTTGAAGAAAGCCATGAGAGGATCATATACGTCTTGCTTAGCATTTCCAGCCATAACATAATCTGCATGAGCATAATCTTCTCTATACTGAATTACAAGCTTATCTCCATCATGACCCTTCAGGCTATCCAGCAAATGCTGTACGTCTTTCACATCAGAAAGAGCATCTGCCCCTCCATAGCTGAGGAAGAGAGGAAGCTCATTTGGAATGCTTGTCATCTTGTACACTGGAGGTTTGGGCTGTCCATAATGTTTCATCTTGTACACTGGAGTTGTGGGCTGGTCCATAATGTTCTCTATTCTCATTTCTCCATCATTGTAATTCGTAACATGCTATCGGCCTTCTCTAACACTGTCCAGAATATTTGATATATCAAATTCCTAAGTTCATTTTCAACTCGCAAAGTTCTAAAATTTTATATTCTAGAATTAGAATTTCAACTTCAATCTTTAAATTTGTAAATTAATGTGAAAACGAACTGAACATAATCGATTCAAAGTAAATCGAGTTTTCCAATAAAACAGTGCTTCAGAAAGAACATGAATTGAGTTGGTTGAACCCGAGGTAGAGCAATGTATGCTCACTTGAGCTCAGCCCAGGATTATACGCCCCTGTTTATCATTTCGCATCCGTGTGGCAATATTATGATATGGTTATTGGCAATATTATAATATGGTATTACTTGAGCACTTGTAATGCAAAATTTAGAAAGTGCATACTCTGAGACAGATGAATCATGTTCTTTGTTGCTGTTGACTGAGGCTCATGATCCAGGAATATATCTACAATGGTGGAATTCAGGCAGCAATTCTGTCCTGTATATACCAATAATGCAAAATATATATATTAGTAATGCAAAAAAATCAAGTCTTTTGTGCTAATAATTAATAATAGAATCCTGTATAATACCTGTAAAAGCAGTGAACAAGTTGGTGCAGTCAACACCTGGTTTTTTACAGACATCCTTAAGAAGAAACTTTACCACAGCTTCCCTGTTCAATGATTCACAAGTTTGCAATTTGCAAAGGTGAAAAAGATAAAGGGTCAATGAGTTTTTTCTCATTATGTTATAAAATTATTATCACCGCACAGTTTCCATAACTGAGATTAATATGCTATGCAGATGATCAATGATACAGTAGAGATAAGAGAGTGGAGTTGCATAGTTCAGTACCCTCGGGGATCAAATTCGTAGAGGCCTAACTGGTACAAAGTCTGTTAAAGAAGGATAATTAGATTATCAGAGAAATGCAATTTCAATTAGACATAGATTGAAGCAAACATTAGTCACCTCAGCAAAAAAATTGTCAGCGGCAAAAAAATTTGTCAGCGATAATTCTGCGACGTGGAGAGGCAACTGTCTGACCAACATAAGCAATTGGGCAAAGTAAGACAGCTGATCTCAACATGTTCAATAGCTCACTTCGTGAAAAAGCAGCCAACGCGATCAAAGTTCCCTATACAAGAATTCGAAAAGCTTTGAGTATGGAAATTAATTCTGTTGATGTTAAAAAATTATCTTTGAACCAGTAGAGACAGCAAAAAATACCAGTGAATGCCCAACATAGTGCAGCTTTTGTCCTGTTTGATCATGAACATACTTAAATGTAGCAGGAAGATCATAAGCTACTAATTCGTCCCACGACCAATCCCAGTAGGCCTAAAAAATGTCAATTTCATTAACTCTCCTATACAAATTTGATAAAAAGATGGAAATAAGATTAGGAGTGAAAATTACTGGATCAGTTGGAGCAAGTGATATATGGCCGCGGCTATATTTAGTTCCACGAGTGTTGGCAATCCATACGTCATAACCATTATCAGCTAAAAGAAATGCTAAAGATTGCTTTGGAGGTAATAGCAGCCAAGTTGCTCCATCCTAATCCTACCATCAAAACGCAACTTATTACATCTAAAATGAAATTTTAAATAATAAACACTAACATCACAAATAAATTACTCACCAGTAATAGCCCGTGCTGCAACAGAATAGGCGGTCTTTTTTCCGGAGACTCACCAGACTGCCCAACTGGGATTCTCTGCATACTAAGAATAAAACCATCTTGTGTTGTAACCTGAAAAGCATAGAAACTTATCATAGTGCATTTTATAATGACTTTCAATACGGAAAATTTGTTGGCACAAGAGAAAGAAAGTACCATATGTTCTTGACAGACATAGTTATGTCTCTCAACCATTGATTTGCAAATGCCATCAGCGCCTTTTGGGACTAATGCTGCTATTCCTTGACTTTTAGCAGAAAACAGCTTTGCTCTATTTCCAGCTGCTGATCCACAGAAAAGTATATATATAATTATTGTTACAAAGTTTTTGGCCATGTATATACTATTTTGTTGTTGTTTTTCTTTGCAAAAAACTTTGAATGGTCTAAAAAATATTTATAGGGACAGAAATCACAAACAGGAACTTTGAATGGTCTAAAAAAAATTTATAGGGACAGAAATCACAGACAAATTTATAGGGACAGAAATCACAGACAGGAACAGAAAAGGTTATCCACATGAAATATTGAAAATAATTTTGTGGACAGCAAAGGATCTTGTGGGGCCAATCATATAGAATTCATCAAATATAATTATTCCTTATTATAACAAAGAATTCACAGGACAAAACATGTGGATAAAGAAAATGATATTTCTGTCAGTTACATTTGTCTTGATCAATAGTAGCTGAATAAATAAAGCCAAATAGATGCCTAGAGAATTAAAGCCTACCATCTTCTGTTCAAACACATTCTAATCATACTAGATAGTGTTCAAATAGGCAGGTTTCAAGGAAGAGGAAATATAGCAATTTATGTGTTAAAAGTCAATGAAATGAGACTGCATTGTGAAAATTACTATGAAGCACATGAGATTACAATAATATGCTGCGACGAGATGAGTCTACAATAAAACCATTAGTAAAGTCAAAATTCAGAACCTTTTGTACAGTTTCTTGGGTATGCCGTTTTGGAGAATCTTACAAGGAGAAAACAGAGGGAAGTAATTGCATTACAAGATTTGTTCATTTTTATCAATTCTAGTCTAATAAGCAGTGTAGCTGGGACTAAATCTTACAAGTAAAACTCATTATGTCAAAGTCAGAAATTTCAGAACCTTTTTTTGTGTAACCCAGTTTTCCATCTGCTGGTATAGCCGTTATTTGTCGCATCGAGAATATTAACGAAGGACGAAAACAGAGGGATAGTGTAATCCTGCCCTTACAAGATTTGTCATTTCTTATCATCTCTTAGTGTAACTAATTAAGACAGTGTAGCTGACTAAAACCAGAGTTGCTGCCGTCTTACTCACTCTCTCTCTCTCTCTCATCTCCTTGCTTTTATTTTGTTTTTTCCCCTTTTTTTCGCTGGCGTTTAGATAACCTCTTACAGGTTATCGGAGTCTGTGTATTAGAATACTCATCAATGGCAATTAATTTTACATCACCTCCTTATGAGTAGTACGTTTTTCACTCGGTCAGCCAGGCGAGCTTCCAGGAGGTTCCTCAGCAATGACTAATATCAATTCCAGGTTCAGACGCCTGAAGAGCAGGTAAGCTGCTGGAAGCAACGCCATCAAATGCTATACGACCAGCCACTCTGTCATAAGCCCTCAGCTTTAAAAAATACACTTAGGATATAACCTCTAAAGTCCAGTCTGAAAATGTAACAGGTACCAGCATTTACCAACTCAGTGTTTTGAGTAATCCATTTATCAACTTTTACCATTTGAACAATCAGTTTATGAAACATATCCCATACAAGTCGAGACACCCGCTGACAGCACAATGCGGGCTCCGGAAAGAAAAGAAAACAGCACTTGATCAGGCACCTCGAGCGCAATTTCTTTCAATTGGAAGCTTAAAGAAATGCTCATGAGTAGGATCCATACACATGAATTCCTTGGCATTAGGTATGCCAACAGATATCATACATGAAGGCATAATTTATTCAGTGGTCTGAACAAACTAGTTATCTTTAACATGTATACTTTTAGGCTATCCACGCATCAAACGAGCTGCACATCTTGAGTATCAGAAAAGAGGCATCCCTTCGCCTCCACAAACCAAGGAAGCCCAGAGTAGCAATACAATCATTTGGAACTGTTTGTCATTGTCATAACCGGAGGCAGTCAACCTGGCCAATAGGTCGTATTCTTCGCTATTCACTCTTCATTGTTTGTAATCTACATTGCCCAACGGTTCCTCTTTTAATCACTGTACCAAAAAAATCCCAGAATCAAAGCTCAAAAAGCCCATACATTTAAATGTATTCCCTCCAGACAGTTTTCATTCTTAAATATTTAATTCATTTTGTACTGGTAGCCATTCTTTGTTAGATGAGAAAACATTTTTCACCACACTTCTATAACATTCAGGACACGGTATGTGCTCCGAAAACACCATTACATACTTTCTCATTACAACTAAGTCGTAGCTACCAGTGGAGCTTGTCTATGGAATTCCCGGTATGCACTTACTCTGAGAATTGCATGAGACTCAGCGTTATTCTTTCAGTTGCTGTTGACCATGAGGGTCCAGATGGCTTAAGAAACGCCACCAAATTTGTGACCTGTCCAGACCAGCAGTTGAGTCCTATAGGATATGGACAATGAATTGTTAAGTCCAGAAATGAATGATAAACATGTCCAATGGAAGTGCCTAATTCACGAACTTGAGAACCATCTTGTCAGACAGGGCCGCGGTTAATCGTGCCAACAGCAGTCAAAAAAATGCGACTCGCCAGTCCACACGTGGTGTGCGTTGCAGGACTATCTGCGATCTCAGTGTTTACTGGCATCTCTGCTTCCAATAGTGAGCAAGAAAGGATCTTCACATTTAAATCCCTTATCACTCGAGTAACCAAGTAAAGTAGAATGACAGATTATCAAATTTATCTCAACTCTTCCTCTTTGGAACTATAACCTCAGAACCTTCTGTTAAACTGAAAACTAAATAAATAAAATTATATTCAAGGTGTGCCGCCGTAATTTTGCGGTCACCAATTTAAGTAATTTGCGACGAATATTGTCCTCTATTCTCTTGAAACTGTAACGAAACACCCGATAGAGAACAAGCCAATGTTTAGATGATCCCTCTCTGGGCATCCTTTGTTATCATTTTTATGTACTTGCAGCCATTCAACGACATGCCTCATAGATAAAAGTTTTTGCACATGTGAATCAGCTGGTCTCGGGGAAAAATGAAAGGAAAGATTTGGAAATATTTACCATCCGATTGATCAAATTCGCAACACCTTAAACCCAGAATGATTTCCTGCCACCATTTTGCACAAAATTAAAGCGATATATTTATACCACACATAGACGACAACCACAAAAGAGTCGCTTGTCCAGGGAGTGTCATCCAATTATGTTACATCATAGAAACAGAAAGAGATTAGTATTTAACCATGGCAACGCTAAGATGTCAGAACAGCCAACTTTCTGCAACTCGGTCGCGATATTCATCCTACCCCATAATTAGGCAAAACTGGTTCCTAGGTTAAGGCAGGCTGATTCTCATCACGTCCGACAAACTGCTTCTCTGGAAAAGGACAGCCTTCACGAGCAAGTCAGAGTTCCTCCTAAAGAATAAATCTTTAAATTTTAGCATTCTTTCACTATGCAAAAAAGTGCTCTTACACAGCAAAATGAAGGCAGGGCCAGAATGAGTACCAAAATACCATGTGAATGGCCCAACATAGGCTGTAGCTGCTGTCTCCTGTTTGATTCGTGAACAATTATTGAAAACATAGTAGGAAGACTTCAACACAAGCAGCCAATTCATATCCCATGACCAAATTCGCAGAAAGCCTGAAAAACCACGACCAACATCCTAAAAAAAAAGTTAAAAATAAAAATCAAAAAGGACTGAAGGTAACTAACATTCATAGAAGACAGAGGAATAACGTAACTGGTCCTCTGGACTAAGTGATGCTCAATCGAATGCTAAGATTGAGTTCTCTTCGCCCATTGGGCAAAGCCATACATTCAAAACCGTTATCTCGCCAGGAGGAAACGCCACGACCATCCATTGCCCCTGGAGGTAATACACAGATCCACGCTCGACTGCATCCCTGTCACCCCCACTCTTTGTCACTCTGCTATATCCGATCTCCTATGAAGTTCTCAACACTAAATTACTCACCACACCACATCCAAAATCACCCTACCCTATTAGCTTATCCCATGCTCGCCTACAACAGAACTGGGCCGTCTTGTTTCCTGGAGTCCACCAAGATGAAGGCCCTAGAATCTCTGTAAGCAGAAGAATAAAAATCCATTCTTGTGTAATCACCTAATTAACAATCCAAAGTTCCACCCAAAACTTATTAATAAGCCCAGTATCTTGATCAGATAAGCTTCACAAACTGACTATTAACTTTAACGCACCTTCCATCTACTTGCCTCACGCTTCATTCCACGAGCCCATAGCCTTGCGTTTCCACAGTGTTTTTACAAATCCTATAACTGAGAGTCAATGACGAAGGAAATGCAAAAACCAATAAGGTTTTGGCTCTGGATACCCATAAAACGATTTGCAGTGGTACATTAATTCTATTACTTTCTCCAACCTATAAATTACAGCAGTTTCCGTATAAAACAAACATAAACAAACTGCAGCCTGTACAAGATAAACCACAATTCTCCAAGATTATAAAACAGTTACAAAAATAAGTGACTAAAAACAATTACCGTTGTTAGCTGTTAGCTCAATTATAGGCACAGTAATTCCCGAAAGCTAAGTACAGGGCATGATACAATATGGACCATCAAGCTAAAATGATAATAATAAAAAAAGAAAGGAAAAAAGAAAAAGCTTTGAAACGTCAGTTATTGCAAATAGGCTTGAAAATCCAAGTTATTGAAAGTTGGCTTGGAAAAAAAAAAAAAAGGAAGGTTGAGGACTGCAGATACAGTCAAGAGTTTTAAAACCATGCACTTCGATTTATTTGAACTGACATGCCAAAGCAAAAATGTCAAACGACATGATGCGACAAGACCTTGCCTACAGAATAGGTTTCAACCCAAGTAATAACAAGACTACAAGCAAGAACCAGCACTTACAACCTTGTTTAATTTCTGACCGAAGCAATGGAGTAGGCGAGATATTGCACAAAAGAAATAAATTCTATAATTATTGACCGTTATTGAAGACGGAAAACAGACTTACAATTCTAACCGGTTGCTCAGAGATTTGAGGTGATAAAAAAAAAATATCGAGGCAATGGTTTTTTTTATAGAAAGAATTTGTCCAAACTGCGAAATTAATAAGTTGATTTAAAATCTTCAATTTAAGATTCGAGAAAGATTTAAACTCTCAATTTCTTAAATTTTGACAAGATATTTTAATATTCTCAATTCCAAATTCGACAAAGATGCATTCAATTTCATCAATTATTACAAATCAATCCAATGTGATGTTA